AAAAAAAAAAAAAAAAATCCCTAACAACCCCAAACCAAAAAACCTCCACCCAAACTCCTCCTCCCCAAACAAAACCACACTTAAATTTTCTGGGTAGCACTGTTTTACTTTCTGACCTTTATTTTCTGAGCTTTACAAAACACTGAACACTGAATTCTTCCAGTAAAGGAGTGTCTTAGTGTGACTATCTGTGTCATAGTGTAGATTTTTTGATGCACTCCTGTTCATTTGTTCCTGACTTTTTAGAGATCCTGACTTTTAAGCCAATACTCCATGCACAAAGGTGTCCCAAGCATCTTGTAACAAGATTCACATTCTCAGTGATTACCTAAATTTCTTCTGCTTCCTTGACAGATCCTCTCAGAGGATTGAAGGATGGCCAGGTGAGGCTGCTGTGCCCTTGGAGGGCAGTTTGTATCCTGGCACAAACCTGGAGTGAAGCCATGCAATGAGATTATTTCTGATCACAACTGTGCCCAGTGAACATCCTTAGCAGAAGGACAATGAGTAGAACCAGGTGCTTGCTGAGCAGAGCATCCAGTTGTGTTCTGCTTTCCAGCCCACCAGGCTGTTCTCCACCACAGCAGCTGCTCTTCCTTGGTATCCTGGAAGTGACTCTGTCAGATGGAAATGGAAGACTTGAGGAACTTCCAACAGTACCAAGTGAAAAGCAGAGTTAGGTGGAGAGATGGACAGAGTGTTCAAAGGACAACAGAGCCTCTTACTTCAGTCAGAATCTTAAAAAGCTGCTTGGAATTCCTTGGAAAAGTCTTCTGAATTCCTTAGCATCACCGGTCCAAAAATCACTGCACAAGTCTGAACAAGGCCAGAGGTAAATGTAAAGGTTTGGTAGGAGAGAGAGAGCCCTTCAGGCAGGTGAGAGCTGTGTGAACTCACCTGAGGTGCCACTTTCCCTTCCTGGCAGTGGCTTTGAACTTCTGGCATTGCTTCTACACGGATTTATCCACACTTGGGGTCGGAAACTCCTCAGGCAGGCCCAGGAACTGCAGGTGGCAGTGGCTGTGCTGGGGCTGCAGTGAGGGCAGGGATTGGGCTCTGGGGCTTTGGAAGCAGCTCCTCCATGGGACACGAGTGACTGGAAAGAGATGTCTGACCAGGCCACTGAAATCAGGACTTAAATCAGGGCTCCACACTGCAGGTGCAGTATTGTGTTTGTCTCCTGAAATCTGAATTGCAGAGAAACCAGTGCTCCCAGCACCCTTTTGATGTTGTCAGTTGAGGAAAACCAAGCAAATAAGAAAACCCAAAAAGCCAAGCTGAATTTTCCTCCCTGTGTCCCAGACCCTGAGCTTGGTGCAGTATTTGTGGCAGAATATGGGCAGAGGACTGAGTCAGCCTCCTCCACCCCAATCCAAACTGGCTTTGAAGTAATTATTTTATATTCTTAAAATACAGAACCATGTTTTTTTCAGTCGTTGGAACAGATCTTTTTAAATAAAAGGCTAGGATCTTACAGAAGTGCTTGACCCTGGGAGCAAACTGCTTTGAAATAATCAGTCATCAAGTACTGAAATACCAGTAAGGAAATTTTCTGAGCAGGCACCTCACTGCAAGCTGCTAAAGCAGTCCTGAAGCAAGTCATGAACATTTTGTTTGCTGTCTGTTTACTTTAATCCAACATGGAAAAATGACCAGAAAACCTCAGTATATTTTGGGGGTGTGAAGGGTGAACCCGAAGAGAGCTTTGTGGTTTACAGGGTTACTGGTTGCCAAGAGAGAGCACTGAATCCCCAATGTCTACTCAGTATTTAGAACTAATTCTTGCTTAATTTTTTCATCTTATACCCTAAGGAAGAGGTTTGTCCTGTGGCTGATTCCCAGGCCTGGCTCTGAGCTGTGCCCTCTCCCCAGCACAGATTTAGGATTCCTTAAGTCACTGTCCCTTGTGCTGGGCAGAGGCAAAGCAGCAGAATCAGATCTTCAAGTAAGTAAAGACACCCAGCACTTCTATTAAAAGAGGTTTAATCCAGCATGGTTTCTAAATATTAACCATGTCTCCAGCTGTGACATGCAGTACATTTTTTACTTTAAAAAAGGAAAAAGAGAAATACAAAACAAGTATAAAAATGAGCCCAGGTCCCCTGAACATCACAGTTTGTGCCAGTAAAATACGGCAAGAGAAGCAAAAGAAACACAGGCTTTTGTACAGGAAAAGGTCCAAAGAGATCTTTCTCATAAATCAAAGATTATCTGTCACATTTAGAAGCAACCACTTGTTTTGCATTTAGTCTGTCAGTGGTCAGGAGGCAGGAGATGTAGGAGCTGCCTGCTGGACAACTCTGAGCCTGACCAGCACTGCCTGCTCCCTGCCAGCTCCCCTGTCCTGCTGGCAGCTGCCACAGGGAACTGGAACCCAGGTGCTGATTTTATTCCACAGGAAATCTGCCTTTATTGTTTTATCCCTGTTTTTCACTTACTCTGTTAGTACCATCTGCTCTCATTTTAATCACACCTGTTCTGGTACTGTATTCATTTTTAAAAAATCCATACAGGTTTCTTTGCCACAGACCTGTCTGATGCTATCTGTGAGGAGTGTGCCATGCTCTTTCAAGCACTCCCAAGTATTGATAAATGGACACAAATATTCCAAGGTAGGTTGTGCTACCTGTGAAAACAGCTTGTAAATTCAGAGGGCTTTTCCCCTGGAATACAACACTGCAAGATAAATCACATCCTTCCAGGGGCAAAAAACCAACCCACACTGAAAAAAGGGGGCTGGGGAGATGAAATCATTGCAGACATTCTGCAGTTTGGGGTTGGTTTCTTGGCCTTTTCACAGTGGGGAGGAGGCACTGCCCTCCTGGGGCCTGGGCACCTCAGTGTGGCAGCACCAGTGGTCAGTGGCACAAATCCGGTGCTGGTGTCACACAGAACGAGTGGCCTCAGCACAGAGCAGGACATCAGGCACTGGTGCCTGGGGCACAAACACCTGCAGGTTTCACCAGGCAGGTCCTGCTGGGAGGTATTTGCCAAACCTGCCTTCCCTGGCTGTGCAAACACTCACAGGGGCTTCCACAAAAACAGGACAGGGCTGGGCAGAGCAGCCTCACCTGTTCCACCCCATCCTGTGGTGAAATTGCAGCAGAGGGGATGTGACTCCATCCAAGCAGCTTAAAACAAGGGCTACTGAATGTTTGATGAGCCAGCTGCCCTGCAGCACCATGATACTTTGAGGTTTGCTCTTGCTGCAGATTTCCAGTTGTCACTTTTCCTTGTCACAGATAGAAAGGTATTGAAACCAAGATGTTAACTATAATGCATGCCTTCAGTGCTTGGTGCACTCAGACTTCGGGTAAAGAAATACTGTTAGTTAATCAAGAAAAATACAAACAGAGGCATCCAAACCTCTCTTCTTTGGCACATCAAGAAGTATAAAAGCTCTAAGTGTTAAAGGTTTGGAATTACAAAAGCACATTGAAAGCTGTAAATGTTAAAAATGCTGTTCCCATTTACTCAGGACATGCATGTGCTGAGTGCCGAGGGGCAGCAGAGAATGGAGCTGTTTGTTCAGATCAACTGTAGGATCTGTAGCAGTCAAGGAGTGTTTAATGGCACTGGGAATAGTCTCCTTTTCCACATCACTGCCCTGTCTGTGCTCTGGTGATTCCATAAACAGTGGAAAGGGGCTGAAATGAGGGGATATTTCCATTGGCAGTGCATTCAGCAAAGAGGAAAGTGCTTGATCATCTTCCCTTCACGCTTGGTTGGTGTTTGGTTCTTCAGTCTGAGTCAGAGTCGGAGTCCTCATCTGAGGAGTGAAACAAGGAACAAAAGTGAAAATGCAAACTGGAAATCCCCCCTCAGCTGTGGCTCTGGCTGGGAGAGAGAGGCTGCTCTGGCAGGGTGTGCTGCAAAGGACACAGGGGTTGGGAATGAACACTCGTGTGAAATGACAGTTCTTGCAGAGGTGATGGGACCTGAGCTGGTGTTTGAAGGAGTTGGGAGGTGCTGCTGCTCTGGGCACTGCTGTGTGCCCTGCAGCTCAAGGCCTCTGAGAGCCAGCAGCTCTGAGATGCTGAGAAATCCCAGCAGGACCACGGAGCTCCATCCCTCAGGCCTCAGCACCTGAGAGCCCCTCTGTGAACACAAGTTTGGGCTGCAGGGCTGAGCCCTCCTGGCATGGTCACAGCTGTGTGACTGCATTCTGTGAGTCTGTGTATTTGTGTCTCCATCTCCAGGGCAATTAGATCTGTATCCTAATTATGCATCTTTGCCACCCGATCATTTTCTGAGGGCAGCCCAGTTTTTAGCTTTTACAGTCTGTTTCCTGGTCCTTAAATTATTTTTTCCTTCGTCTCTTTTCAGCCTAAAGCTTGAAAGAGACTTAAGAGTTCACCAAAATCCCCAGAAGAGACTGTCAGTGCTGCTGTTCACCTCCGAGGATTCTATACACACCTTGGGTGCTTGGTTTTGCTGGGTTTTAAACAGGGTGTTTTGGAAAGGAGGGGGATATTTTTTGTTCGTTTTTAAGAGTGGAGCAGTTTTTTTAATCCATGTGGATGCAATAAGGAGTCACAGGGACATGATGCCCGACTTGGGCTCCTGGAAACTGCAGAACAACAACCCCTGTCCTGACTTGAACTGGCTTTGAATACCCAACACCTTCTTTTTATCTTTTTCTGTCAGATCTGAAGTAGACTGTATAGAAAAAGTGATAACAACCTTGTTAATTTTATGCTGTTTGACCCTTGGATTTCAAGGCCATTTGCCCACAGATGGTCAAAGCTGATGATAAGAGGCAATCGTGATAAGGAAATAATAAAGAGAAAAGCACTATTTGGACATAAAAGGCTGTGGATTAATGGATGTTAATTATGAGTTGCCAAAAAAAAAAAAAAGGTAGAAGTTTGCTTGTTTTTACAGCAAGACATTTTAATAGGGAAAGAAAATCTGTGCTGCATGGGGATCTCTCTAATTGGATTTGGGGCTTTTCAAAGTTAGATGTTGTGAAACTCTGAGAAACTTCACATTCCTGGCCTGCAGGTTATCTTCATAAATCACTGGAATTCAATTTGCAGCTTCCTAAATGAGCAGAGCTGTGGCAGACAAGCCCGAGAATAGAAACTGCTCTTACTGAGCAAGAGCTCTTGCTCCCTGCAAAGGGTGAAATGGAGAGGGGAGACTCACACTGCAGCTCGTGTAACAAGCAGGGAATTTTACCCACCTTCTGTCTTGCGCCCCTCGGGGGAATCCGAGCTGCCTTGCTTGAGGAAAGTGACCAGGTCATTGAAGGTTATGTAGAAATCAACTGCAAACACGATGGTGGCTGCAAACCCAAACACCTGAAAGGGCAAAATAACACTCTCCTTAACAACAGCTCCTGTCTGTCAGGGACAAAGCAAACCCAACCAAATCCACACAGCAAAAACTCCATGTTTTTTCTGGCCTGTGCCTTTCCAAAAAGGCAGGGAAGGGAAAGGGTTTGTGACACATTTGTGACACATTGGTACCAATGGTACAGCTGATTTGGGAGCCTGAGAAGTTGTCACTTCTCTCAGTTACCTGTGCCCTTATCCCTCCCCCAGGCTGCAGCCCCTCCCAGGCTCTGGGCACGTTCTGGGCATCAGCTCCTCCTGCACCTCCAGTGTCCCAGGGCACCTCTGCCACTAAGAAATCACCTCCATTCCTTGGGAAATATTTTCCACTTGTTTGCAAGGTGTGTCTATTGCTGAGTGAACCAGACAGATTAAAATGATTCTGGAGTTCCCTATCCAGTGTCAGAGCAGCAGAGCTGTGCCAAGCACAGGCTGGGTGCTGCTCTGGGAGCCTGGGCTGAACACACCCCATTGCTCCATGTGTCACTGCAGGGATAAAGGTTAAACAAGGTTTGGGTTTGTACTGTGGGATGGTTTGGGAAGGGCTGCTGGCAAGCACCACTGGGCACTGCTCTTCCCAAGCTTCAAAAATTGTTATGCAAATTTTATTTATGTTGCATACATTATTGACACTTAGAGTCAAGTTGCAGAGGCAGGGGCTGTATTGTATTTCTGACCACAAAATGCTGATGGGTGAAGGCTCTCTCCTGGGCAGTCCTTGTACTGGAGAGTAAAATGACACTGCTCTTGTTTCAACTCATCCAAGTAAAACTAAGTAGGATAGGCAGGAGGTTGAAATTACTTCATTTAGACTGGTCTTAGCAGTTACAGGTTTGAGTTCTGTTTTTTTATTATTATTATTATTATTATTATTATTATTATTATTATTATTATTATTATTATTATTATTATTATTATTATTATTATTATTATTATTATTCCCTCCATTCAAGGATCTTGCAGGAGCAGCTAGTAAAATTAAATAGCAGAACAGGTGCCTTCCCTAAGGGTACAGTTAACACTGAGCAGTTCTGTTAGGGTGAAAAAATTATTTATTGGTTCAAGACATGTTTTTCTGAATAACTGACCATTTCTTCTTTGCTTTAGGCAAATTAATTCTCAGTTAATTGAAGAAACTTCTATGACTTGCAGTGGGGTCATATTTGAACTGTTTAAGTACATCCATACTCAGTTCCCCACAACACTTAGGTGGAAAGCTCCTGCCTACTCACCCCTGCTGCTTTAGATGCTCCATCGCTGTATTTTGAGACAGCAGCAATTGAAATGGCAAAGTAAATAATGGCAGCAGTGACGCAGCGCAAGAAATCCTGTGGAAGAAGCAACGGTGCATTCTCAGACTAGTGAAGGATTTCCTCTAAAAACCATTCTGGAAACGAACACTCAGCCCCTCTGGCCTTGCTGGTGTGTGACCACAGCCTGGTTTGCTGTAGAGGAGGAACTGCTCATCTGTGAAATATTTCTAAGTAAGAGAAGACCTGAACCTTGGCATAAACTTCTGCTCTTTAAGACGCTGGGATAAATCCTGCTTCTACCCTGCCTGTGTCAGGCAGACCTTCCTTCAGCCTGGGAAGGGCTGTGTGGGGTGTTTGTCTGAGCACAGCAAGTGCTTTAATGGAAAAATCATGAAAATGCCTTAAAAACCTCCTGTTGGAGCAGAACTCCTGCAGCACCAGAGGCTCAGGAGGTGCCAGCTCCCCTGGGAACAGGGGTCTGTCTCTCTGTGGATGCAGGGCTGTGTGCTGATCTCCAGGGAGACCTGGCTGTGCAAGCCCTCATTCAGGAACCAAACACTTGGTGTCGTGTTGGAATGATTTACATTTCCTATGTGCCCTGCCAGCTGCAGCAGCCTGCCCCAGCAGCACGTGTCTGCTGTGATCCCTGGCACATGTCCTGCTGAGCTGTGCCCTGTCACCCCAGCAGGGATGGCTCTGCAGTGAGCTTTAAACACAGAGCTGTGCTTCCCAGGGCACATGGAAATCGTGGGGCTGCAATACTGGTACCCTCAGCTCTGTTCACAATTAGCTCTTCTGCCTTTCCAGAACAAACAGAGGAGCAGGATCCTGTCTCAAAGCACAAATCCTGCAAGAAACCTGACTCCTCTAAGTCACGACAAGGTCAGTTATCTACATTCTGTGCCTGCAGTATGTTATGGTAATGGCCATGAGAAACACAAAAGTGCCTTTTTTGTCTTAGTTCTGGAACCAGATGCATGTAGAAAATGGGAGAATGATGGAACTGAGATTACCAGCTGAGAGCTGAGCACAGTCGTAGCCAAAGTCACTGATACTGTTTTATCTACCAGTGGCCTTGCTAAAGTTATTTTTATACAGTGATAACTCTAATTCAAACCTCACTGCAATGAACTACTGAGGGTACCAAAAGAGAATCCAGATTGATAACATCAGCTGGGTTTTTTGTAGTATTTGTTCTGCAAGGCAGCTGCTCCCTTCGCAGTGATATCTGAGGCTGCAGGGACATCCAGTGGCCAGGGCTCTCCTGCAGCCCCAGCACTGCCCCAGAGCCACGGAGCTCCTGTGTGGGCATGAACTGGCTGGAGCAGCTCAGTTTGTCTGTGGCTGTAACTCTACCCAATAATTTAATCACAGCCTGATAAATCTGCCCATTATCAACAACACGCCTGTTTCCCCCTCTGCAAGGGTGGCAAAAAGGAGCCCCCAGCAGTCAGACTTGGGCTGATGCTGGCCCTAAGCCATTCGCCTGGAATTGGGCATACACTCTGTGCTTTGACAAAGCCATGCTTTGTGTCAGCACCCAAAAAGCTGCAGTGCAGAGCAGAGCATAGGTGAGAGTGCTCCAGGACCTTCTGAAGCAGAGGCAGCAGGGACAAGTTTCTAACAGGGCAGTAAAGTTCTTACAGTCACCCTGAGCTCCCCTCACAGAGCACAATTAAACCTGAAGGTTTCTGTTTGCACATCTCACTTACCGCCAAAGGCCAGTGGACTCCTTTAAACTTCTCATTAAGCTTGGAGGCGTAGGCAAAAAAAAGAAACAGTGCCAGCAGAAACTCTAGGAGTGGTGCCATCATGAAAGAAGCTGCTAGAGATGCAATATAGCAGATAAAGATGATAAATGACAGCACCTAAAGTAAAGGGAAAACTCGTAGTTATTCGCATGGAATAGCAGAGCTGCAGGCAGCTGAGCAGCTTTGAAGTGTTATTTTCCCTGTGTACTTCTGTCAGTGCTGCTGCTGCTGGCATAGCTTCAGCATCCTGCTTTTTTTTTTATTTTTCATTGGGCCAAATGATTTTTCTTGTTCAGCACAGAATAAATCTGAAGTAATGGCGTTTATTTCCACGTGTGTGAAATCGCTTTTCCGAAGCGCTGGGTGGATTTGCACCTCTCGAAGTCAGTCATTTGCTCTGGATTGTAAACAGCTCTGACAACATAATTCTGAAAATAGAGTGGGGTGTTGCCAAGCAAGCAGAGCTCTAAGCTTTCAGCCGTGACAGCTCTCATTTGAAACCCAAATCAGTGCTCAGACAGCCTGAAGTAACTCAGCATTTCTAATCTTGGAGTTGAAACAATAAAGTCTGCTGATGATGGATAGAAAAGGGCCAAGAATTAATGGTTCTGTGACTTCTGGAAGTGTCTGGTTCCAGTTTTCCAGCGTGGCAGCTGTTTTAGAGAGTAACAGGACTGATAACTCCCATAGATTTGTTTTATCGCCATGATTTTTCCTAACTCTAGTAAATAATAAAAACCAGCATTTTTTCCCCCCAGTAATAGAAATACCTTTAGAATATGGCTCAAAATACAAAGTTTCACAATGAGAAAGCAACTGAAGAAAATGCATTTTCACCCAAACCAGGCAGTAGCAGAGAGCTGTCCTACACTCCTGGACTGTGTAAAAGTGGAAAGTGAGAGAACCATGGAGAAGCTCAACACCATTTTCAGCTTCACTGGGGGTTGGTCACCTCCAAAAAGTGGCTCCAGTCCTCTTGTTCTACTGCCTTGGATGAGAACTGGTCGCTGTTTCAATCAAATTAGTGGCTTCAATCAAATTAGCCTGAAGTACCAAAAACAGCCAGGATGCTGAATTACACATTATTATGTGCCAGTTTACACCTGGGCTGCCCTGTCCAGCCTTTCCTCCTGGAGACAAATCTCTGCCTTCCCAAAGCTCAGGGATGCTTTTGGTCAGCACAGACTGAGCATTGGATTGCAAAGATTTTTTAAACTTCTAATTCCAAACTGGGACACTGACATTCCCACTCACACAGCACTGAAAAGAAATTGATTATTTTTCTCCAGATGGCACATCTGAAGGCAGATGTGGCTTCCTGCAAATGTAATCAATGCAAATCTCAGCTCTGTGGATTTCTTTGTTTGCTGCTTTTATGTTTAGAAAAAAACCTTTTATGTTTAGAAACTTTTAAGCAGTTCAATCCCACTGAAATAATTTCTTGGTGTAATTAATTACCAAGCCTTTATTCTCAGCCTGTCTTTTGGGGAAAGCAGTCAGTGTCTGAGCAGGATGCTAACAGCTGAAGTAAACTGTTTTCATCCATTAGGACTGGCTGGTGAGGTTAGAGAGGATGTGACATTTTTAGTAAGAGACTATATTTATCTTAAATGTCTATGCATTGTTCTTGTTTCACTGGGTTCTAAGAAACTGAGCTGGGACAGTTTATAGAGCTCACTTCTGCACAGGCCTGCTAGCTGGCAACAGCTGCCCCATTTGTTGGTGTTTACCCTGCTCTGATTTGTTTACTGCTCACAGAGCCTCTCAGCAGATTTTTCTCGTTTTCATAAAGTGGAGGGAATTCATTCCCACTATCTCATCCTTAACGTGGTATTTTCTTTCTATGAGCTAAAAGTGATAAGGACTCTTTGAAAGGAAGTGGATTTACCAGAGCTTGACAACTCCTAGAGGAGAGAGGACTTCCTTCTTCCTATCACAGCACCTATTCCCTTCCCACCCCAAAGAACAAAGACTTGCTTTGTGAATCCGTTTCACTTGCATTTCTGGAACACAATTTAGATACAGTTCTATGCTTTCTTGGATTAAAAAGAAACCACCATCTATACAGGACATTTTCTTTTTGTTCTGGTGTTGAAAAAATATCTTCCTTTTTGTGGCTAAAGGGAGGTGTGTGAAGGCTGAGCTGCAGGGGTAACCAGCAGCAGGGAGTTGGGTTCAGGGCAGCTCCCACTGACCACAACCCTTCCAATGGCAGATCCTTAGACTTGAACTAGACCTGGTGATCTCTTAGGAAAGGATTAAATGCAGTGTTAAATAATACATCCTAGTGGAGCAGTGAGGGGAGGTAGAGAGGCAAATTTCAGATATGGAAGGTGATGCTGCACAGCAGAGATCCCTTTGATCTTGATTCTGTTTGAGTCAGGAACTGCTGTGCTCTGACTGCCTTTGCACTGAGAAAAAAGCTTTCCTGTCGAAGTGTAAAGTGAAAGGAAGAGCCTTTGTGGTCTGTTCTTATCAGCTTTAGGGCAATTTGTGCCAGGGAAGGCTCCAGCTGTCTCCTCTCAGCCCTGGGCAGGTGTGAGGTTCAGCCACGAGCTGGACTCGGGGTGAAAGAGGAGCTGCTGTGTGGCAGGAACACACCAAGGAGCCCCTGATCCCCAGTGCTGGGGTGCCAGGGGATCCCTGCTTCTGTGCCAGGGAAGCTGCTGGAGATACAGATCAGTCTGAGCATTTCAACTTTCTCATTGGGTCTGACCCAGACAAGCTGGGGAAATATTAGTTGTTTATTTTAAAATCTGGTTACCAGGCCAGTTACTTGTTCAAACCAAGCCCTGCATGACTGGTAGATGACAGCAGTGTCCTGCTGCCTGCTCCTCAGCCCTGAAGGTCAGTAACTGTATTCCCACCTTCCTCACCCTCAGTGCTAGGATTGAGTCCAGCCTGTCCTGCTCTCCACCTGTCAGCATCTCCTCGTGAGGAGAACTGCACCTCTAGGCACACTGAAAGAAAAGGCACCTTTTGATTCACAAGAAGCCACTTGATTTCAGTAGATTATTGATGGTATTAGTAAAGGGAAAAGACTCTGAAGTGTGGTAATTGGTCTGCAGTTAAACATCATTCCTCATTCTGGAGGCATTCTGAGACTGAAAGGGCCCAAGGAAGATTTTATGTGAAATAAACATCTATAAAATAATGGCCCAGATTTTGAGAATGAAGATTTGAAAGCTGGCATTTTTGGAAACCTTCACTGGGGGAAGGCTGGAAGGACAGGAAGGGGAGGGAGGCAGACCTTGGAAAGTCAGAAGAACAACAGGAAGGAAGTGCCTGAGGGCTCTGCCAAGTGATGACCATGGCACTGCACTGCACCTGGGTTCTGCACCTCGTTCTTTGGTTTTCTTCTTTTCTGTCTCCAGTCACAGCCCTGTGATTTTAATGCCAAACTTCTTTGGTAGCTTGGAAACAGCCCTGTGAGGCCACAAATTGAAGGGTTTTGATAATATTTCTCATTTCTCCTTGTATAGAGCTCGTTTCCTCTTCTGACAGCTGGAATGCACGAACTCCTTGAGCAATACTGGATATTACCTATAACTGTCTTTTCTGAATTACAGAAATGAGCAGGACCCTTTTCTGAACATTTAAGTGCACTGCCACCAACTCAGGCATTTGATGTTATCTTAAAATTTCTAAAATATACCTCTCCTCCCACAATACAAACACTGCAGTGCCAGTCTGTACCCAGAAATGATGACACCTACCTACGTACTTTTCCAGACTTCAAGTGTCTGTGACAAACATCAAGCAAACTGAAAGGTGCTCTGAAAACTCAAAAGCACCTTTCAGAATACACCCTGACCCCTCCAAGGACTGTCAAATGTTCCATTGCACATCACACTTGATCTGCACCTCTTTTCCTGGAGCTGTATGTTTCAGGGTCACTTCAGAGAAAGGTCCCAAGAAATGGGACCTTGTTTTTTCTAACAGCTCTGTACCTATGCTTTAAAAAAAAAAAAAAAAAAAAAGGCAGCTAGAGAGGAAGTTTGTGAGGCTTCATGCAGTTGCAAGTTCATTTCTAGCACTTTCAGAACGTGCTGCAGCTTCTGGGAGAAAAAAAAAAGAAGTAGCAGTGTTTTATCAGTTTTGTCAATTTGTATTTACACAGAGTTCTTCTCTTCCCCTCACTTGGGATTGCACCCTCAGCATTGGGAGCAGCTGGGTCTGAGCTCTTCCTGAGCTGCTGCTGCCAGGTTGGTGTGACTGCTGCCAGCTTCACTGTGAAGCAATGTCTGCATGCAGGAAGCTCTAATGCAGCAAAGAGCAGGACAGGAACCTTCCACAGCTTAGCAGTCATAAGGGTATAAAAAATCCTGGCAAAAAAGCAGCCTGACTATTCACTGAGCACCTTTTATGTACACTCCCATCCACACAAAGCCCTTCTTGGGTATTGTGTTTCAAAAAGTAACTTTCCCATTTACACCCAGGTAATTATTACTTAATATTGTGTTGCTGGGCTTCTTAAAGTGGCCAGGCATTACCAAGTTATACTTTATTGTACAACTGGCTTGCAGTTCAAGGTCTAAAAAATAATCCTGGCAGTTGTTAGAGAGCACAGTGTCCCTGAAGGGAGGGAGGCCTGAGCACTGCTGAGGTCATGGCAGCTCCAAAGGCGTTTCTCTCCCCTGAGGAGGGAGAACAGACCGACCGGAACCCACTGGGATTATGGGGATGCTGGGAAGCTGCTGCCATCACTGCATCAGCTCCTCATCTCCTGCTCCCACCTCCTGCCCCTCATGTCCTGCTCCCACCTCCCTCCCCAGGGAAGAACAGCTCTGCCTAAGGCTTTACGAGTGGGCAGCAGCATCATCCTTTGGACAAGAGTGTGTTTTGTTCTTGTGTTCTTGTCAGACAAAGTGCATCACTCAGTGGTCTCTGCTCTTCAGTCACTACTCCTCTGTTGCACTTGTGGAGGTGAAATTCTGCTTCCTCCAGAACTGGCTGCAGGAGAGGCCTTCTGGCTACAGACCCTGAGAAAGGCACAGGGGCCTCTTCAAAGGAGATTTTACACCGAGCAGCTGGAGTTTCAGTTATGAAGGTCAGTCCAGAGGAGACTGAAAAGACAGGAGAAAGACAGGAAAAGAGGAGACAGGCACAATGATTTCTACATCCTTTTCTGTCACCACAAAGGTGGCACAACTTTACCTATTCACATGCATTTTTATAAAAACTAAATAAAATGTAGTGCCACTGCATGCTGGCTTCAGGAGACTGAGAAGATGCCCAGTTAAAGCAGCCACAAAGGCTTGAGTGGAACAGCCAGGTGAGCAGCAGAATCCACAGCTCAGGATCCTGCCTGGACAAGCTCTGGGGGCAGTGTGAGAGTGGCTGTTAAATGGTTCCAACACAGGACACAGGGAACTGAAAATATCTCTTGAGAGTGGAAAAGAGCATGGACGAGATGCTCACCTCTAACACAGCAACTTGAGTTGGAAAACTTGAATTGAGATATAAAAAATGAGTAGCTTAAGAAGAGTCTTAAAATGTGTGGAATGTGTGGAAGAAACCATGGCATGGGGGGAGGGGTGAGGGGTAACATAAAAAGGAAAAAATATTAACCTGAAATATTAAAAATGGTGGTTAGAAATGGAGGGAGCAAGGCAGTGAGAATAAAAAGGATTAGGAGAGATAGTGAAGCTTATAAATGTACTTGATGCTACTGCTCTTTCTGGCTTTACAGCTGTCCCAGGTGGAATAAAAAATTAATCAGGCAGGTTAGTGGGGAGCTGGACTGCATGGTGGACTGGATGTTCCCCAGAGGCCCCATATAACCCCAACCATTCTGTGATTCTGTGGAGATCAAAAGAAAAAGGAGTAGGGGATGGGGGGAGGATAACTTCCTTATCTGAATAAAATTTGAGATTTTAATTAAGCCTCTAGCAGTAATCAGCTCCATCACCAGCCTGACCTGTTTTAGGGGAAGCACCAGGATGCCCAGTTTACCATGGGTACTGCACCAGAGCAAATCACACCTGAACATCCTAAAGATCCTCTGTGTGGAAATGTTATCTTCAAAAATGGCTCGAGAGCTGCAGAAATAAAGTGCATTTCTGGGGAACTGCCAAGCTGCTGAATAATGTGACATTTGTAACACTAATGAGGACCCCACTTTGCTTCTGAACAAAAGGCACTGTTCAAAATATGTATCCATGAATATTATTTCCATACATTCATGCAGAAGCCAACCCCACCCCACATTAGCACTGTGTCAGAGGAAAAATTAAACATTCAAGACGAGAAATACAAAGCTAAAGATGAAACACAGATTTAAACCATGATAGATTTAACTTGGACTCATCTTCAATTATTTGGCACTGCATTTCCCTAACTGTATAGAAGCTGCATTTACTCTGGGGCCTGTGCTATCTTCAAGGGTTTCTTCTGGCAAAGCTGAGACAACCGGAGAGAAACTACTGCTGCCTCTTGTCTGCCAGGAAACCATGTCCTGAGCACGTGGGCTTGGCCTGCAAGGAGCACAAGGAAAGCTCTCGGCAGATGGGATCTTAGAGCTGCTTTCAGCCAGCCAAGCCCTTGGGAAGCCCTGAGTGGCCTCACAAAGGATAAATCCCTGTTTTGTCAAGACAGAGCAGTTTTTATTACTCCAAGGAGGCATCATCAGTACAACAAAAGGGTGAGTCTGATCCCATGACCAGAACATATTCCTCCAATATGTCATCATTCTGAGATGTTAAAAAGCCAGGCTGTCTGAAAGCCATCATTTAGTGGCTGTAAGCTTGTAAAGGAAATTCCAGTGTGTGTTATAGAATGTAACAAAAACACGTGCCAAAGGAGCCCGGTTAGCTTGGCTCTGGTATCTTCTAAACGTGTGGTTTTGTAAACTACAGAAGCTGTGTGAGTGATGGGGTACCTGGAGGAGGGCTGGGGTAGCTGGCATTTTTTTGGTGGAGCTGATAAAGCCCGTGGCCTGCTGCTATCCAGCCCAAGGCTTTCCCCACCACAGCAGTCATCCTGACCTCCTGAGTGAATGCTTTTCCTCACATCTGGCTGTTCCCTGTCTCTCTGCCACAGGGCAGTGCCTGCAGCCTCACAAACTCTCAGAGCTGGTCCCCACCAGGAGGTCACAGACAATTTTGCCTCCTTCTGCTTTTTCCTTATCTTTCTTTTACTGGAATATCCTTGTTTCCTTCCCTGAGCTAGCATAGTGGATAGCCAGGGACACCTGAAGAGCACTCCATGGACCTGACTGCTATCTAGCTATAGACTATCTGCTGCCAAAACTCCAGCCAAAACTCCAGCAAACTTAGTGTTTGAACTTATAGTTATTTCTAGCAAAAATGATGTTGAACATCTAATTTCAATCAACGAGCTTCCTATTCAGAAGCTAAGTTTTGGCTCACCATGGGGTGAGCTATCTCCTTCCCCATCACATGGGCACTGTTTCAACTGTCAGGTTCTAAGCCTTTACATGTAAAATTCCAGAACGTCTCACACCACAGTTGCTGCCCTGGTCCTGCTGTCACACTACTGCTGATCCAGGCCAGGTGTCCCTGGCTTTGTGCCCACCGGGGCTGGTGCCCAGCTGCTGTCCCAGCACCCCAGGGCCTTTCCCTCCGGGCAGCTCTCCAGCCCAAGGGCTCCATAGCATCCCTCTGGGGGTGAGCACAAGCAGGGCTCCGGACAGCAGCTGGGTGACCGTGATGCACAGCCTGATGCCACACACCATAAATCCCTGAGCACACTCTTCCCTGAAACACTCAGGACAGGCTGCTCCCTAAGCTGGCACCAGCCGATAATGCAAACTGCAGCCGTAGTGGTTACAATTCACAATGCAAAGAGCTTAAAACGAAATCAAAGCGCTTTTTCACCGAAAAGGGGTCGCCGATAGCAAAACACACTTAAGGCGTTGGAAGTGTAACGTGACAAGTTCTGGTCTCTAGCGTGCTCTGCCTGAATCACGTTAAATCCATTCCACTCTCAGCCCTGCAGTTCCCCCACTCCTGTGCGGCTGTTTCCCCGTTTTCCCCTCGGTTGTTGTCTCCCGTCTCCCTTCAGCTGTTTTCCTCCAATTTTCCCCCCAACTGCTGCTCCCGAGTTTCCCCCTCAGTTGTTTTCCCCTCAGCTGCTGTTCCCCAGTTTTTCCCCCTTGGTTGTTTTCCCCCAGTTTTCCCCTCCGTTGTTGCCCCCCAGTTTTCCCTTCGGCTGTTTTCCCCCAGTTTTCGTTCCCGTTTTTCCCCTCCGTTGTTGCTCCCCAGTTTTCCCCTTGGCTCTTTCCCCCCAGTCTTCTCCTCGGTTGCTGTCCCCCAGTTTTCCCCTCGGCTGTTTTCCCCCAGTTTTTCCCTCGGTTGCTGACCTCATTTTTTCCCCTCGGCTGTTGTCCCCCACTTTTCCCCTCGTTGTTTCCCCTCTCCCCTCAGCCGCACAGGGAGCGGCCCGGGGCAGGTCTGTCCGGCGGAGCCCGCCCGGTTCCCGGCTGTCCCGGGGGTGGCTCCGCAGCCCCCCGGCCCCGGTGTCCCGTCCTTACCGACTCCGCGAGCAGCAGCTGCCCCTTGCGGGAGCGCAGGAACTCCCGGGGGGGGAGCAGCGAGCTCAGCCCGGGCGGTGCCGCGGCGCCCTCGGACTCGGGGTCCTCCATGGCTTCGGCGGCGGCGGCGGCGGCGGGCGGGGTGGGCTGGGCTGGGCTTGGGCTGGGCTGAGCTCGGCTTGGGCTCGAGCCTGGCTCGGGCTGGGCGCGGGCTCGGGCTGGGGGGTTGGCCGTGGAATTTTTTAATTTTTTTTTTTATTTTTTTATCTGAAGGAGGGAAGCGGAAATCGTGACACTGCGGAAACGTGAAAAAAAAGTTTCAGCATCCCCAGCTGTGGGGGACGGCGGCAGCGCCCGCCCCCAGCCCCGGCACAGGGACAATGGAGCTGGGCTGGCACCCTGGCCCTGTCCTGTCCTGTGCTGCCGCAGCGACACCAGGGAGCCGGGGCACTCCTGTCCCTGCCACTGAACACGGCGAGCACAGAACCGCCCGGCGCTCGGCGCTGGAAGGGGCTGCTGCAGGTCACCCAGGCCAAACCCCGCTCGAGGCTGGAATTTCTGCATCCAAATGCCTCGGCGAATGCTTTAACATGCAATTCACGTGGCACAAGAAAATCTTTCCGAAGGATGATTTACTGGGTCATTACATTTTTACTTTACTTTAAAATGTACACTTACTCTAATGTACTTTTTTACACTTAGTAAATAAATAAGATTAAATAATGCACCTAAGCCCGTTTGTATTTTCTTTTTATTAGAGAAAGAAGACAACCATGAAAGTTATTTTCATACAGTAAAAACAAGACAACCATGAAAATTACTTTGATATAGTAAAAACGTAATTAACTTTAGAAAAACATGACCATTTTCTCTGAAGCTTTAACTGGTCAAATTGCAACGCTGAAACTGCTTTTGGAACAGTACGAAACCTTATGAATGATACTTGCAGAAGCTTCAGTGCAATGCAACAGGAAATTCAGAAGTGAGCACATGAAAATAGAAATTCTTTAAAAAAGAGTGGGGAAACAATGGAGAACTCATTCTTTCACTAACATGTCAATCTTATTTGGCAGGAGCACTCCTTCCTCTTGGTTTATCAAGGCTAATCTTCTTGCAAAGAAGAATGACGTCGACAAGGCAGAGAACAAGCAATACAAGACCCAACACCTATAAAAATTACCATAAAATTAGTTCCTCTAATCAATCTCAAGCTTTTACTGTAGTGACTCATCAAGGTAGCAGTAAACACATCTTCCTAACTTGGTTCTGGCCTTGAAAACGTGTGTGATTTGAGACAGCTGATAAATTAAATAACACCCACATTTACATCCCATCAGCCTTTCAGAGAGCTGTCTGCAGTCTGCTCTGTTTGATGTTTGTGTCAGATCTTGGATACAGTGTGGTGCTCTCCTTGAAAGCTAAGCTAATGCTGCATTATGCCAGACAATGCTTTTATCCTAAATGAAAGCCTTTCTGTCCCTTTAAAGGTTGCTTAATTAATGGGACTGGCCCTGAGAAAAGTCAAGGGGAAAAGTCAGTATTCGTAGAAACAAGCCCAGCAGGAAAACTTCTCTTCTGAATGGGAAACATATTCCAAATTGAAGAAAATGTACTAAATTATTTTAAAAATAGACAACCTCAGGCAGGTAAATAGAAAAATGCATTTGCAGAAGAGCCACTGAGTTAACTCGCTCAGCTCCTGCCCTTCAGCCTCATCCCACATGCACACAGGGGTTTTTTGTGCAAGCACTGAAGTATCTGATCTGGGGAGTTATTTTCCGAAGAGCTTTTGGGAGAGCACAGCTCAAGGCAGTTTGTGCCTCAGGGAAACAGGCTGGGGGTGATTCTGTCCCTCCCAGCACTGAAGATGTCACATGTTCCACCCAAACCTGTGTTCTCAGCTACCTGCTCAGTCTCCTGCTCCCAGCTTTAATTTCTCTTAACTTCACAACTCAGAATATGAATTCCATTCCAGTACAGTCACTCTATCAGAAAGTCTCCTTTTTGCTTAGGATGCCATTGACAGTGAAGCCATCAGCCTTCCCCCTCATCTTCTCCTGAGTTTGAAAGACCTTAGTGGCAAGTTTTAGGTTTCTTTTGATTGGTTGTCACATTTCAGCTTATCTTGTACTTCTAGAGTCTTTCAAAACTGAGGGGCTTTCCTCCTCTCCTTATTGTTTATTAAGGTTAATTACATTAGTTGCCGTTTGAATTAAAAATATCAGTTATTCAAACTATTAAACTGGTTTGATCTTAAGAACACGAAATTCTTACAATCATATTATGAACAAAACCTCTTTTCAAATGACATAATTCCTCAGTTTGTGTCAGAAAAAAACCAAGCTACAGGCCAGGAGGGAGGTACCAGAAGACAGAGGTGTCTGTTAAAAAGTTTCAACTCTTTTTAGCAGGACTGTTGGCATTCTTTCTCAAGTAGCGTAACCAAACTGGATAGTCTTAAAAGAGCTAGGGTTTCTCCCACCTAGGATTTCAAGCTATGGTAGCAAGTGTAGGTTACTTAAAAATTCTAGAAATTTTCAGTGTTTCAGTACTTCTCTGCAGTAATTCCCAAGTGTTGTAACATCTTTAAATTACCAGTGATGTGAGGATTATTTTCTTTTAGTGAGATACACTGAATGTATCTTGTTTGCTACTGCTGAGTGTATTCTTCCAAGACAGTTTGCATGGTCCTACCACAACGTGAGTACCAAGAGGTTCAAATCACTGCACTTTAAGAACTGAAATTCATTAACAATGTTCCTACTTACTCCTCCAGCCAATGTCCCTTTGTTGGTCTTGATTATTATTGCAAACAAGGACACAACGAGGAGGAACAACGCTGCAATCACCGAGTTGAGAATATCCTGAAACAGCCAGTGGAAGCAAAATATTTATTCTGAAATACAGGCCTGAAGGAGAACGTGGAGAGTTCCCAACACAGAAGGGATGGTTAAAAACGGCTGGATTGCCATGAAAACAGAGTTACATCAATATCCATGTGAGAGGACACTGACACCCAGTGGTGTGATGGTAAAAAGAGAGTTTCTAGTAAAACGTCCTCATTTTATCTTTCTTCTGTTGTTTTTGTGTCAAATTTTTGCAACTTGGCTACACCTGATAGACTGAAGCAGCAAATACACATACAAAAGGGAGGTAAGAGGACAACTTGTCAGTATTTGAGTGAAAGCGTGTGACTCATTTGTGATGTGAAGGTGTTACACAGCGAGGCAAACAGTGCTGGGAGGGGCTGTTATCGGATCCAGCAGCCATCCAGGAACTGATGGAACAGAACGCTCTGTTAGGAAGCACTGCCTCAACCTGCACAGAACACTGGGGCTTGCCTCACCTGTACAGAAACAATCACTGAGCCAGCTGATAATGTCCCCTGGGACAGGTGATCCTTCCTGTTCACAGGCCTGTTGGCACTCACAGCCAGCGGCCACGACAACCAGGGAACAGCAGGACCCACAGCCAGGGGACATTGGTACTCACGGCTAGGTGACATTGGTGCTCACAGCCATCAGTACTCACAGCCAGAGCACCCCGGTACTCGGAGCCCACGGGTACTCACAGCCAGCGGCCAGAAAAGGAACCACATCCGCGCGTCGAGCTTCAGCAGGTAGAGCAGCAGGAACAGGACGTTGATCCCCGTCTCCATGCCGGCCAGCGCCCCGTAGGCCTCGTGCGACCCCGAGGCCACGAAGCAGATGAGGGCGGCCAGCGCCACCAGCTGCGGGACAGGAGGGGACGGGGGTCAGCGCCGGCCCGGGCCTTGCCCACAGGCCCCGGGGCCGCCCCCGGCCGTACCGTGCGGGAGATCTTCAGCGAGCCCCGCGGCGAGCGGAGGAAGGCCCGGTCCACCTCCAGCCGCGCCATGGCGGCCAGGCGGCCCTGGCGGTGCGCGGCGGGAGCGGGACCCCGGGTGGGCCGCGGGAGCCGGGGAGATGCCGGGGACGATGACACAGGTGATGCCGGGGCCATCGCCGGCGCTGAACCAGCCCCGCCTCAGCGCGCCGGGGGGAGGAAGTGATGGCGCGAAGGCGGAAGGGCTGGGCCGGGCCGGAGCGGGTCCGTGCGGGGCCGGGCGGCAGCGGGGATGGGCTATGTGGCGGCGGGGCGCGGCCTGGGCGTGGGCCCGGCGGGGCGCAGGCAGTACCGGCCCGGGCCCCTCAGCGGGCCCGCCCCGCTCCGCTGTCACTGCCAGCCGTAAGTGCGGGGCAAAACCGCGGGGGCGGGACGGGATGGACCTGGGGCTGCCCCTGGGCCCGGCTTCGGCTCTCTGCGAGCCTTCGGGATGCACTGGAGCGGCTCCGGGGGAGCAGGAGTGGGAGCAGACCCGGGAGCGGCTCCGAGGGAGCAGGAGCGGGGTCATACCTTGGAGCGGGGTCAGACCCGGGAGCGGGATCCGACACTGGAGTGGGGTCAGATCTGCGAGCGGCTCCAGGGGAGCAGGAGCGGGGTCGGATCCGGGAGTGGCTTTGGGGGAGCAGGGTCAGACCCGGGAGTGGCTTTGGGGGAACGGGAGCAGGGTCAGACCCGGGAGTGGCTTTGGGGGAACGGGAGCGGGGTCGGACCCGGGAGTGGCTTTGGAGGAACGGGAGCGGGGTCAGACCCGGGAGTGGCTTTGGAGGAACGGGAGCGGGGTCAGACCCGGGAGTGGCTCCGGGGGAGCGGGAGCGGGGTCGGATCCGGGAGTGGCTCCGGGGGAGCAGGGTCAGACCCGGGAGCGGGGTCAGACCCTGGAGCTCTAACCGGGTGTCACTGCCGAGCCCGTCCCTGCCTTCCTGCCGTGCCTGGCTGGGTAAAGGGTCTCGTAAGCTCAGCTTGGGCTCGGACAGGTTTTTTTTTATCGCAGGTTTGAAGTGTAAGGTGCTTGTTTTGGGGCTACTCCATAATCCTCACTCTTACCCTGCCGGGCTGTGAGGCTAGTGGGTGCTGCTCCAACTGATCTTTCCAAAATTAATTTTTCCGCTTTGCAAACCCACTGAGGAGCAGCAGATATAGCAAGAATCTGAAAGTGTGAGCACTCGTTGGACTCTTGGCAGTATCAGGGACAGTAGAGAACTGCAGCTAAATCTTGTGTCAGTCAGTGCCACAATGTGTCTGTTACACGACCCAATAATTACCTAAAACTTGAAGGTTGATAATTTAGAAAATAGTCATATTAAGCTATAGGGAACCTAAAAATGTCCTGGAAGGTCTCACATTAAGAGGCTCGGTATGACTAAGTTATGAAGACTGCTTTGATTTTAACTGTTGTTTTTTTCCATTCTAGATAAGCATCTGATAAAAAAAGATGCTAGAAAGAGAATTGTAAGTATTTGCATTTTGTTCAGAAAACAAAAGGTGCAGTCTCTTTCATTATAATTCCATTATGATTTGAGTGTATGTGTATTGGCAGTTGTAGGCCTTAGCTGTGTCATTGTGTAGTGGTGGGTCTATCACTGGGTCATGCTCTGTGCAAGGCTACACTGGTCTAGTTCTGAAAATACTAAGAAAATTGTAAGAGATCTATGCAAAATTGTGAGGGCTTCTGTCAGGACAGGTGGCAGTTTGGGTTCAGTGTTGCATGTGTAGCCTTGCCATTGCCTTATATAACCCCTCTGGGCTGTAAGTTATTTTAAGACAGTTGAAAAAGAATTCTCTTAGTTTATTTTAGTTGTTTAGGTTTCTGAAAATAAAAGTGTGATCTCTCTTAAGGTTTAAGTTATCTATATAATGGATGCTGAAATTATTACTTCAGCTGGCACTTATTTAAAGTTGGGAGTCAGGTCTGTGAGGTGGGTTGTGGCAGAGTGAGGAGCAGCAGGTGACCCTCTGGAACCCCTGGGGAAGGGGAGCCTGAAGCAGGGCAGGGGCTGGCTGTGGGAGTAGCAGGGAGGGAAAAAGTCGTGGTCTGCGAGAATGACAACATCCAAACGGATCCCCAGTGCCTTGCCATGAAATAATCTCTTCCCAGCATAGGGAGCTGGCATGTTGGAATGGGCAGGGTGCATTTCTACCACACTGTTCACTGCTCTGCCCACTGTGGGTCTCAAAGTCGCTCTGTTTTTCACCAGATCTGTATCGAGGGCAACATTGCAAGTGGGAAAACAACATGCCTGGACTATTTTGCACAAACTACCAACATTGAGGTACTGGGTGCACATTTCTTTGTCCTTATTTCCCTCACTGAGCAGCTGCTTGTCTTAGATCCAACGTGTCCTTCGGTGCATGAGGAAGGAGCAGCAGGGGCTGAGCCATGGGCTTGCTGGGGCACCACCCCAACTTTTTATTGTCAAATTGCAGCAGAGAAATGTACTATGTACTGGATGCCAAGATACCAGTAAAACCTGTGAATCAGAGTTTGTACCTTTATAAAATAACAGCAACCCACAGAGCATGGGCATGTTTGGACTTGCCTGTTTGTCATTTCATGTCACTGAAATCTTAGATGGGTCTGGTGAAAGCAAAGGAAAGAGCTATTATGTATAAATGCCTATGCCATGTAACAGAGATCCCAGTGAATAGGTAGCTTTTTTTAAAGAAGGAGAATCTGTTAGAACTGTTTCAGGAGATTTCTTAGCTGATCTGGTATTTGATTTTGCTTAGAACCAGGTTAGGGGAAGGACAGGCTTGTATTTTAAACAAAATCAAGGTCAAACTTTAGTGAACAATTGATTTTGTAAACAGATATTAATGCTTTCACCCAGCAGACCTGGCAACACATTTGGTAATAAGTTTTAGTCCTCCTAGAAATGCTGGGTTGCCAGATGTTATTTGGAAATTTAACAGAATTGTCCTTATGAAGTACTTAATTGTTAATCCAAAGGATAACAGACTTTAATTTGCATACAGTGCAGCATTTTTAAGTAGCTGCTTAAGTTCCCAGGTGGATGAGATTCTCCTAGGCCTGGCTATACAATATTGTTGCAGATTTAGACCCTGTTCAAACCAGACGGGTCTCTTGTGATTTTTTCTATTCAGCGTAGAAGCTTTTCTGATTCATTTTTTAAAATATTTGAATACATTTTGTTAGAACACAAAAATAAAATGAACACGAATGTGGTAGCAGTCTGATCATCCTCCTTTGCTGGTAAGTGTTACTTTCTGAGAAATTAATTTGTGAGGAAATGGGCTAATCTAATCAGTGTTTAAAAATGGTAAGAAGACATTGAATATTGACATTTCTCTATTTTTAGCAGTGTGCATTATAACCTTTTGTGTTACAGAATTCAGTGCTGTTTTTTAAGGATGAGCTTTCCAATACAAGTCCTGAATACTCTGATTTACTGCACAAGTATTCCTTAAAAATAGCTATACACTTGTAGGGTCACATTAAGTATTTTGAATCTAAGATGTGTTTAACATAGAGTAATTCTTTTTAACCAGGTTTTGAAGGAACCCTTGAGCAAGTGGAGGAATGTTCGAGGTCATAATATCCTGGTAAGTGGCAGAAATTATTTCTGCAATTAAAGTGATTTTTCTTTTAGCAGGACATGTGTGATGACTTTTTATCAGCCAGCGAAAATGCTGCAAAAGGTGTGATCCAAATCTCACACTGCAAAAACTAAAGCTCCATGAAGCAAAAGAGCTTCTACTGCGATTAAGACATGCATGTAATAGAAACATTGCATATAAAATGTGTTTTTGTCAAGGACTGAATGTCCAGTGAGCTGTGACTTAAAGCAATTCCCAGGAGGGTAAGCCCTGAGTGTGGCAGTTGTTTCTAAATGTGCTTGTGCCTGTTTCAAAGATGGGAAGGATGTCACTCGAGGTGAGGGGTGGATCCCATGGATCCCATCAGTTAATGTGGTTTGACTGGAGTTCTGTGAACAGCTCTGGTGCCCTCAACATAAAAAGGACATGGAACTGTTGGAGTTAGTCCAGAGGAGCCCACGGAGGTGCTGAGGGGCCTGGAGCACCTCCCCTGTGGAGCCAGGGAAACTTCCCTGTGAGGGTGGGCAGGCCCTGGCACAGGGTGCCCAGAGCAGCTGTGGCTGCCCCTGGATCCCTGGCAGTGCCCAAGGCCAGGTTGGACATTGGGGTTGGAGCAGCCTGGGACAGTGGGAGGTGTCCCTGCCATGGCAGGGGTGGCACTGGGTGGGCTTTAAGGTCCATTCCAACCCTTTAACACTGTATAAATCTCTGCTCCTGTGGCTGCTGCAGATAAGGAAAATTTAGCCCAGTGAGGTGTTGAGGGCCTCTATTCCCTTTTGGGTGGCCGAGGCTTTTTGGAACTGTTCCCCTCGGGGATGTCCCTGGGTCCCAGCTGCACACACCAGCCTTGCTGGGCTGTGGAGGTGGTCCCTGGTGTCAGAGCAGTGCTCGGGGCTCAGCCCCCCTGCACAAACCCCAGGTGCCTGAGGCAGGGCTCTGTGCTCAGGCTCTGCAGCCTGCGGGGTGGGCACACCCCCAACCGTGCTTGCCCTGCCATGTGTCACATACCATCAGTGTTAGCACAGACCCTCTGAACAGTCAGTTGACCCTCCTAGGAGTTGCTGATGCCTTTCTGATTGTTGGTGAAGGGGTGGGGCACTTGCACAACACCAGATCGACCTTGGAGCCCTGGGAAAGTCTGATCTTGGCAGGGAGAAAAGGAGAAGGTCAGACCTGTGGGCTGAAGCTGTGCTGCTGGCTTAAAACTTGTCACCTCAGCCAACAGACACTGAATGATATTTTATTTTGAGTGAGAGCCTTTCTCTGCTATGCAGGATGGATTGTTGCTTGTAAGTTCTTTGTGTGTGTGGAATTGCAGCAATCAGAAAGTGGAACAGCTACCTGGGAGCTGCTGTGAGGATCCTTTGGGAAGAACAGCTGCCTGTGTTAATGAGGCCCAGACCATACTTAGAACCCTGTGTGATTTCTGGATGCACTGGGTGTACTGAGAGTCTGTCAATGCACAAAAATAGAGTAGTAGATAGGTTTTTTGTCATTACTTGGTTCCAACTGTTCCATGTGCAGAGTAACTAATTCCTGCTGACTTCAGCCAACCTCCCACTCAGTGTCTGTAGAGACAGGGCCATAATTCTTCATCTCCATTGTGGAGGGCAAATGATCACTTAATTCTTGTCAAATCTGATGGCAGCTGTTTTAGTGCACTTAGAGCAATGCTGTTGTAGAGCAAAAGCTTCCTAAATACCCAACTTCCTGTTGTGCTGTTTGTCCTGACAAATGTCCATCTGTCCTGCTTCCATCTCTGACCTCAGGGCTTAATGTACCAGGATGCTTCAAGGTGGGGGATAACTCTGCAGACCTATGTCCAGCTGACCATGCTGGAGCAGCACACCAGGCCCATGGTGAGGAAACTTCTTTTAATTTTAAGAGTAATTAGATGTGGTTATGAGTGCTAAATCCTTTTAACCTTGTATTCAAGAGTTAAGATGCTGTGTGTGTTCATCCTTGGTTCTTGCAGTGAGTAGGAATTGCTGTGGTGCAGACATTGATATGCCCAGCGTGTGCTCTGGGGATAAAACCTTTGCCTCCTGCCTGCTCACAACTTTCCCAAACTGATCCTGCTGTTTGGGCACACCCTCCAGAGCTAGGCTTGCACAAATCTCTTCCTCATTTCATGTCAGTGACTTGTCTGTAATTTCATTGTTTCAAATCCTTGGCAAACACCAAGTAATCTCATGTTAGGATTCATAGTACTGCTTCCTGCTGTCTAGTACAAATTTAGCCATTGCTTCTTCTGTTTATGCAAAATACTTCCATTTTCTATTGCTTTTTCACGTGGTTTACATCCTTCTTTTCCTTGTAATTTTTTCTTTTTTTTTTTTTTAAATTTCACATCCTACCTTTTAATCAAAATTTCTTCATTCTTTTCTCCTTAAAACACCTTTTGTTACATTCTAGCTGTCTTCCATTCCCTGATTACAAGATCTGGTCTTAGATGCCATGCTTATATGTTACTGATTGTTCTTATGTTCTGTTTTCTGAGTTTGTGTCAGGGCAAACTTTTAACGGTGCCAAATCTGAAAGTGGCATATATAATCATTAGGTTTTTGGAAGAGGTGTTTTTCCAAGACAATATAAATCCTCTTCCATTGGAGAAGAAGTTCATTCAAGAATTCCTGAGGATTTCCCTGTATTTCATTCTGAGCTTTTTTGTTATTTGAACCTTGTTGGTGCTATTTTTGTTTCATTAATGTGCAGAAACCTGTGAGAATTTGTTCTGCCAGGCCCAAGAGTGTCAGAGGATCTCTCTGCTCAACATGAAGTGCTGGTGGAACACATGCAGGGCTGGCTGAGGGCTCTGTCAGCTGCAGTTATTTCTTTTAAAAGTCCTATTTCCTTTCTTGAATGCGTATGATGTCAGCCCTGTGCTGTGACCCAGTAATGCATGGGATGGGGCAGCAGTTTGGGGAGCAATAGCTCCCATTGTCCTGCAGACCCCAAGTGAATTGCTGCTTTTTTGTACCCTGGGTTACCTTCCACTGCTCAGCTGAATGCTGAGCACTTTGCTTTGAACTGGTGTCTGAATAACAAAGGAGAGTAAGAACAGGAGTACTTGTTTTTTTGTGGCTCCCACCCTTCCAGTAAGTTTGTTTCTCACAAGATCTGAAAATGGTGTTTCATATGTGCCATATGAGCGTGAAAAGAAACAAGCATGAAAATGTACAGAGTCAAGTTTTGTGTTGCAGATTTCCCCCATAAGGATGATGGAGCGATCCATTCACAGTGCAAAACACATTTTTGTGGAAAACCTGTATCGAAGGTATGGGATGTGGTTTTCTACTTTATTTTCTTGGATTAATTATTTTAAATAAATATGTAATCAAATGATATTTTCTTTGGTAATGTGCATTTAAGGGGCCTGTAAAATCTGCCAGTTCTGTGTTGGAGGGGCAGTGTGTTTGGTATGGAGTGTGCTGCCCACTTCCTGTAGGACTCTGAAAAACCTTTTTCAGCAGTGCTCCTGAATATTTAGCACTCAGTATTATTCAGACACCCTCTACTGAAGTTATCTGCTCTCCAGCTGAATACCCAAATCTTGCTTGAATCAAACACATGCTGGACAGGTAAAAACCCACAAGGATATAAAGAATAAGACTATAGGAGGGAGAGAACTGGGCAGTGTTATCTAGCCTGGCATCCAGGATTGGCATTTCTTGCAAGCAGGGACTCAAGTCCTGTGGTCTTGCTCAGAATCAGGATTGCCAGGATCACAATAGGACTGCAAGCCTTGGTAGGCTGTGAGTAAAGAAAGAAGAATCACCTATTACCTGCCCCAGGTATAACTCACCCGTCCCAAACGAACTGAAATAGTGCAGCAATCAGGCGTTTGTTTCTTTGTTTGGAATGCTCCTTCTGTCTGTATGTGACAGATGGGTTTTAGTGGGTTTTTCAGTGGCCTTGAAGGACAAACCCAGTTTGTGCCACAAGGTGTCATCCGTGCTGCACGAGCACCTCTCTGCCGCGGAAATGCCTTTGGAAGTGGGGGGAAACTCACATTATTCATCCCACACAGTGCAAGCAGCCTGCAATATCCTCATTTTTAGTTCCTGACTTCTTTTTTCATTGTAGACAAAGTGCTTTTCCCCCAAAGACTTAATTGCTATGAGGCTAAATCTGTTTGTGTCAGCTTTGTGAATTAATGTAATAATAACAATTTTAAGGGCACCTAAGATGTTTTGTGGCTTCAGCACTTTTTAAATGTTGGGAAAAGGGCATTTGCTTTGTTTTGTTACAGTAAACTAGAAGGCAGCTGATAGTGCCAAAAGAAAGGGATGTGTAAAAGGATTATAAATAAAACAAAGAATAACTGAGGAATGTATGGAAGTAGCTATTTTGTGACACATTAAAAATGAGTCAATCAGGCTGTGTTGGGTGAGTTTTAAATGTGTGCACAGGAGTGTGCAGGGTGTGCTGTAGGTGAGCACTGCAGTTCACTGTCCCTCTGAATCTATCACTAGTTGTGACAGAAAACTTGCTCTGTTCATGTTGGACTTAGGCAGTAAATACATGACTTGATAGGAGTCAAATGCCAGCAAACTTAGGAAATTTAAACACCATTTGTACCTTTTATATTCCCTGGATCTTTATGTATCTTGAGCCAGAGTCCTCCCAGGGTTACCCAGGGAAAGCAAAGGTGTGTTGTCTGCAGGGCAGGTCAATGCAGAATTCACTTGGATGTGTCTGTCTTTTAGGGTAAGAGCAGTGGAGCTTTTCTTACTTCCAATTCCTTTCAACCTTCTCCCATCTCTCCTGGAGAAGAGTAGCACAGTCAGAGTTTGGCTGATGTAGGTCCCTGATGCCCAGAACTGATGTGTTAGAAGAGCAGCAGTGACCAGTGTTAGCCCATTTCTGGATGGCAGATCAAGAGGGGGTGGGTACAAACAGGGATAGGGATTTTACTTTTTTCCATGCTTAGGGAAATATCTTTATTACTTTTGCTCAGTTTTACAAGTGATCAAAGAAGTTGACAGGGAACTGGTTTAGAAATCTGTGGAATATTTTTCTTCAGTCCTGTTTAAAATGGCATAACTCCATTCAGCTGGAGAGCACAGGAGCCTCCCAACTTCGCCTTCTAAAAAAATTTTCTATTGCAGAAGCCTTTAGGAAAGACTATGGAATATGTGTTACTGTCACCAGTTTTGAAGAGAGGATACTATGAAATTAGTAATATTTGACAATCAGGAATATGGTAATAAGTGAAAATTGATCCACTTATAAAAACATAGTATGTGATTCTTAACATGTCCTCAGTAACTCCCTCTTACTCTAATTGTCTGATACTTCATTATTGTTGATGAGGTAACTTTGAGACATTTGTCTCCAACATTCTGTGCTCTGAGTTCAGAGTTCCAGTTAAGCATATTGGATATTTCACTACTCTTTCCACAAATATTTCTTACAGTGGGAGTAAATTTATTGACACACTGACATTATATTTTTTCTGCCTTTTACTGTGGCTTCTGTAAGGAATTTTTGGTGCTGCTCAGTAAATCCAGCCCTTCTGGTGACCTGCCCTGGGACAGATTTGAACTGATGCTGATACAGAGAACCTGAGCAATAAGTACCATTGAGTACTTAAGAAAAAAAGGAAAAGATCTGGTCTTTCTATTTTTTAAATAATGGTTTTTGTGGCCTTCAGTTTGGGTGGGCATAATGTTTGCTTCCTTTCACAAATGCTGGAGTAATGAGGAGGGATTCTGGTCAGGTAAGCAAAATGAATTTGGAGTTGATGTCTGCATGCTGCTCTTGTGTTTGTGCAGTGGGAAAATGCCAGAGGTGGATTATGCTGTCCTAAGTGAATGGTTTGACTGGATCCAGAACAACACTGATGTTTCAGTTGATTTGATAGGTAACATCTTCATGGGTCTGGAGGGCTGTGTTTGTGGGTGGCTCTCCTTCCTGCGAGAAAAAAGAATTCTTGTTTCTTGGCCATGATTCAGTATGGAAGTGAGCACCATCAGACAGCTTGGGTTTGTGGGAGGTTCATGGGTTGATTCATGGTAGTGCCAAAGGGGAGGTCCACTGGTGGTAGCCAAGCCAGGATCCTGCCCTTCTATAGTTTGTGAAGTGAGTTTCTTCTTTGCTTTTCAAGCTGATCCTTGAACATAAGTATTAAATTTTTTGTTTCTGCAGTTTATTTGCAGACATCTCCTAAAGTTTGTTATGAGAGGCTAAAGACACGATGCAGGGAAGAGGAAAAAGTCATTCCTCTGGTAAGGAGTTCCTCTGATACATATGCTTACAAGGAGCTTTGAAAACAGAATGATTCCAATCTAAATACTAAAATTGTATCCACATATTGCCAAGATGTGCTGCAGCTGTTTCCACTGGAAACTAAACCCTGAATATTGAATTTTCATTTCTTTTTAAAAAACGATCTGTCATGCACACTGACTCTCCCAGGAGTTCTGCTGGAGCAATCAGTGCACTGTAGCTGACTTTAGGTGCACTATTAATCCCCTGCTAATCTTCCCTAGGATGTAAAAGTCAGTTGCCTTTGTACCATTCAGTGGCACAAAAGGACCCAGGTGGAGCATGGATACCTGGGCTTGCAGGTGCTGAGATTTCTGGGGGCACTTTGTTGTCTGCTCTCACCAGGATGTTTGTGCATGAAAAGTGTCTCTGCTGTGGCTGAAAAGAAACAACTCCTTGAAAATTGTGAGCTTGGGAATCTGCTTTAGAACAAACTGTGGTGATGGAAAATGACTTTCTGTGCCAATTTAAGCATGGCCCTTCATGCCACAAGGCTTCTAAGGAATCCTGACCAGACAGAAATGCCGTTCCCTTTGCAGCTCTGGGTGGGTGGCTCAGGAGAAGCAATTGTCAGCTGAAGATCTGTGCAAAGAGCTAAATTTTGGGCCATGTGAAATTTTGCCTTGAGAATAAATCCTTCTGTAATGGATTTGAAGAGCCCTTATGTTATTTTGCAGCTCTGCTGAAGAGGAGGGGAGCAGTTATGAATGAGCAATGTGAAGTGGTCTCCATAAGAAAAAAAAAAACAGTTGATGAGAGGCAGAAGAGCTTTTAGAGGAAATTGAGTTATGAGAAAGTGAACTGGGAATTTTAGGGAAATGTATTGACACAGAAAGTGCCTCCCATACATATTCTTTGCAGCCTTGCCCTTTTTGTCCTTACTTTGTTATATTTTTCTCTGTAAAACGTTTTACCTGTGGGAGAGAATCATGGTTGTTTGATCTTAAAAGGAGCTGAGAGCCCTGTGCTCCTGTAAGCTGTGTCTTTGAGGTCTTCCTGGAGTTAAACTTTGTACTGGGAATTAATTTTTCTCAAAAACCTTCTGATGCTTTTTATTTTTTGTTAGTGGAAGGTATGTGTTGCAGGCTTTTATATGTCTCTTAACTATCTCCCAAATGGATAAAGATTGCAATGTGCGTGTCATCCCTAGGCATTTGTGTTATTCCAGTGCCTCTTTTCTAGGAATATTTAGAAGCTATTCATGAGCTCTATGAAGAGTGGCTCATTAAACGTTCACTGTTTGAAGTTTCCTGCCCAGTACTTGTGAGTATTATTTTAACCAATTAGGCATGTGGGGGGTTGTTCTTTCCAAATAATAGGAGCATTGTGTAGTGGTGAAAATAAATAAATCTGCTTTTCTGATAACCTTTGGAGAAGGACAACCTCTGACAAACGTGATAGCTGTTAGTGTATAGCACTGCCATCTCTGCAGTGGAATTTCAGGGGCTGTTCATTGGGATTGCTTGCAGGATCAGCTGTGTAGCTTTTCAGGGAATGCCAAATTCCCAGCAGAAAGCAGCTTGGGCAGGTCCTTAGGAGTATCCCAGTTTGGCTGCACTGGTAGTCCTGTTCTGTTCTGCTCAAAATAAAAGTTTTATGGTGTCAGTTATTTCCAGTGTTCTTCTTTCCAAGGTTATTGGAGCTGACCATGACATGCAGAAAATGATAGAGAAGTATGAAGAAAACCGGGACCAAATACTGAACCCGCCTGACAGACAACATAATTTATAGAAGCCTGTGACTGTTGTATCAAAAATCATCTACTGAAATCTGATTTGGTGTGTTTAATATTTAAATATAATGGGTACTGTTTTTGCACTATGCTTTGTAGAATGCTGTATACCAATCGGGAAGAGAATATGAGCCAATTCCCTTTGTGTTTTTAGGTTTTCCATCAGCTTTACTGTGTCAGTTCTGTTCAGCTAAAATATGGCTGTTTCCCTCGTTTCCTACTTCACTGCTGCTTCCTAGAAGTAACTTTAATTTCTTCTTGTTTTTTTTCCCCAAAGACAGCCCTGTTTTTGTAATTTGAAATAAACAGTTTATTACAACGCTCCTCTGAGGGAAGATACTTGAGGTTTCTCTTAATAACCTCTTTGGGGTGAACTGGGGTGAAACACCACCAAAGGGCCAGTGTGTGTATGAGGGAGCTTTGATTATTACAGAGCTGTCAGTTTGGCCTGTGCCCAGCAGATCATCCTGAGTGTGAGCACATGGGATAACCACGGGATAACCACGGGATAACCATGGCATCAGCCCCAGCCAGTCTGGCCTCAGGAGGGGCAGGTCCTGCCTGGCCCACCTGATCTTGCAAGGCTAGGTGCCCCTCCTGGTGGGTGAGGGAAAGGCTGTGGATGTGTCTCCCTGTAGTTCAGCAGAGCCTTTGAGCCCCTCTCCCATGGGAGCTCCTGGAGAAGCTGCAGCCCCAGCTTGGCCAGGGCCATCCTTGGCTGGGATGGGAACTGCCTGATGGCCAGGCCCGGTGCTGGGAATGGGATTCCCCTGGGATCCATGCTGGGACTAGTCCTGTGGACACCTTCATGGATGGTGTGGAGGAGGGCAGAGTTTACCCTCAGCTAACTGGGGTGACACCCATTGGGTGAGGGCCCTGGCCGGGCTGGGTGCATGTGCCAAAGCCACGAGGTGCAAGGGGTCAAGGGCCGGGTCCTGCACTGCAGCTCCGGGGGAATGGGCTGTGGCACTCAGGGCTCTGGGCTGGGTCACAGAGTGCTTGCTTACAGGCTGGGCTCGGTGACCTCCGAGGTATTTTCCAACCTCAGTGATTCTGTGGTTTTCAAACAATTGCATTGCAGTAGAAAGGAGGGGTGCAGCTCGTTGGATTCTTTTCTATTCAAGTACAAAAATGTCTCAAAGTGTGGAAGGCAAGAGAAAGATCTCAGCATCGAGGCCGGATTGTTGGAATATTGATGTCCATGGTCAGATTAACGTTCAATCGTGATCCCTTGGGGTGGTAGCCACCAAACAAAAGGTTCAGAGGGTTGCAGACATGGTGTTCAGCATGGGAACAGCTGTATCCCTCCCCAGGGAAATGATTCCTCCTGTCAGCTGTGACACTGAGGGCTGTGCAGAGCCTTTGGCAGGACTCAGGGCCATGCTGAGACCTGGGTGATCTCAAGGGCCTCTGGCTCCAGGAAGATGCTGCCCTGCCCTCTGCTCCTTGGTTCCCCTTTCCAGGCACATCCTGAGTGGCCATCAGGTGCCTGAGGCACAGCAAGGCATTGACCCCTTCCTGCCCAGGCTTTACACATTTCATACCAGAGGTAGGATGTTCATTATTTTATTGTTGCAGGAAGCAAATGAAGTGCATCCAGTTAAAGTAGCTTTGTTAAACAGATCTTACCAGTTTGAAATGGTGTTTTGCTCTAATCCTACCCATATTAATGCAACTTCATTGAATTCAATGGAAGGAAGTTCTTTCTGCTCTAGAGGACATCACAATATAGCTTAGTTCTGAAGAGAACTGTGCACTGGTAGTTCCTGGTAGTGAATTCAGTGCAAAAAAATTTTAAAAAGCCTCAAAACACAGTTTTTGTAAGTGATTGCAGAATGGCCCTGAGACCCTGCTCTGGCTGAGGAACAGTGAAAATACAGGGTGCACGGGACTGTATTTGTTATTCTTTTCAAATGTTTCTAAAAAATCCTAGATTTCTTAACTGGTTTGCATTCTTTGAATTTACTTCTTTTTGTAAAGTAACACACAGGTGGTTTTTTTGGTTTATATCACGACCAGTTTATTATGTATGACCTGTAAGTACTTGGAGAGTAGAGAACACCAGTGGGGGTTTCATTCTTGGACTTGTTAAAGGAAATGCTGAGTTACCCTTCACTTGTGCTTTACCCTCTGGGTGTTGCCTTCAAGGGAATCCTTTCAATGCAGCACTTGGACTTCTGTCACATTGATTTTCTGGGTAGTTTTAGGGGAATGATCCCAGAAATACAGAATGTATTTTTCCCCTACTGGTTTTGGTTAGTTTAGCTGAAACAAGCAAGGCTTCATTAGCACTTTGATCACTTTGTACAGACATTTGTCAGGCACTTAGTGCAGGATAGAAACATTCAGTTATGTGGCTTTTCAACAGGATCTGATGGTGCTGCTTTTGGACATCACTGCTTTTGTGGGGTTGTGGATTGCCTAAAACCCATTGCACTGAAAGAACCACACACTGAATCAGGAATTGCAGCTCCTGTCCTGTTATTCCCATCTGATGAGCTGTTTCTTTTCTTAATCACTGCACCTTAGTAAGGGTAAATGCACAGAGAGCATTTCCTAGTGAAGTACTAAGTTGGTACTAAAGCTTGTGATCCCAGGAATGCCATTCTACTGCTCTGTTGTAATCGTTATAATTTGAGCTTAAAAGTAAGATTTTGTCTGCTAAGTAATGATCTTACTTATTGCAGCTTCTTTGTAGGGGAATATCAGATATTCTTGGTACTTTCTGTTAAACTTTCAAAACTTTTTCTTCTCTAAGAGTCCAAAAGAACGATTTCTTTGGAAGTGGTTCTATACATTTGAAGCTCAGTTATCTGCAGTTTGTTCTTAATTCTAGTTTCACTATGGATATACATTTTACACAGCACAGAAAATGTCACTTAATGATTTAGTACAGAGAATCTTGCAGCCCAAAGGATGCCACTGTTACTTGTCAGGACACAGCCCTGTGCACGCTTTTGTTCCTAACACTCATTTCTCACAGGCCCAGCCACAGCTGAAGGCAGTTCTGTCCCCTGGTGTTACCTTGGGCAAGGTTCTGTTTCTCCTACACTGCTGGAATCAGGGGATGACAGAATTTCAACCATTAGTTGTTCAAAAAGCAAATCTTTATATTTTAGTTCTTGAGGTTTTCCTAGTTTAATCCATGTGTGCTCCCCTGAACTTTTTCGGGGATGAAAGTAAATTATAATTAATTTCAGCTAATATTTTAACTGTACATGAAAGACATTTTTTAGCATTCAAAACTGAGCTCTGTATTAGCCACTGTGAAGAAAATTAACTCTACCCCAGCCCAAACCAGCACACATTTCAGTGCTACTGAAAAAGCTACCTGAAGGGGTGTTAAAGTGTCGTTCTAGTTAACAAGTGTATCACAGAATGCCAGAACTTTCAGGGCTGGAAGGGACCTCTGGAGGTCACCCAGCCCAAGCCCTGCTCAGGCAGGGTCACCTGGAGCAGGTGACACAGGAGTGTGTTCAGGTAGGTTTGGAATGTCCTAGAGAGGGAGACTCCACAGCCTCCCTGGGCATCTGCTCCAGGGATCTGCCCACTCCAGGAAAACAAGTTCTTCTTCATGTTGAAATGAAACTTTTTGTATTTAAGTTTGTTTATGGCCATTGCTCCTTGCCCTGCTGCTGGGCACCACCCTCTGACAGCCCTTGGAGATATTTGTATGAAGAAGCACTGGAGACTGTGCCTAAGCACAGCAGCAGTTTCCTCTCCTAAATTAATTCAGAGTTGGGTGTGACACAGGCTCTCAGTGCTGGCACCCCAGTTTCCAGCTGATCCAACACTCCTGAGCTTTCCACACAGCACTCCCACCTGCAGGATATCCCTGATCCTGCCTCTGCTGCTCACTGGGATCTTTCTCTGAGCAATTTTTTTTTTCCTGCCACTAAAATGGCAAAGAATGAGATTTTTTCCCTTCATTTTAGTGAGATGAACTGGCCTGCAGAAAAAAATCTGTGAACTTCTGGTGCAGAATTAAACCAGGAGCAGAGGCAAGAGAAATGGCAGGTGTAGCTGGACCTCTCTCACTGGTGGCAGCGAACAGTTACAATGCTCAAGGCTTCTCTTGGAAATTGTGGTGGCGGCCACAAAATACTTTGGTAACAAATGGAGGCACATATAAAACCTGTAACACAGTTAATGCCTCTACAAAACCAAGGGTTCCAACAGCTGTTTCCCTCTTTAAAGCTAAAGGAATGTTATCAAACTTTCTAAACCTGTTTTCAGCTGAAGTCAGGAGGAAGATTAGCTCAGGCACAGCTTCAAAGGAATGCAGAGAGTTAATAGGAGTGCACTCCAGTATGGCATTTCTGAAGCTGGGTCTTCCAGTTTAGAATAATTTCTCTTGTACTGGAAGACTCTTCCAGGAATAGGTCTGGTAAGGGAAAAAAGAAAAGTCGGATGCCCAGCGGAAGAAACCTGTCTGGCATTAAGAACAGCCAGAAGGAATTTGACTGATGAATTAAATGGATTGAAATTTATAGAAGTTTGCCTACCCTTTATAAAGGTGACCTTTCTGGTTTTCTCATCAAAGGAACCATTAAGAATTTGTGTAACTCCTGCTATTTACTGTCCCAGAGCAGTGATGTTGTTTGGGGGTTTTTTTGAACTGTTTTGACAAAGCTAATCATCTCCCTGACAACAGGATCAAGGCCACAGGTGAGAGGACAATCCCCCCAGGTAATTACAAATAAAGCACTGCAGACAGGCTCAGGTGTGATGGCACAGCACTGCCTGGTCGGTTCTGTCAATGATGACATAAGGCTCCTGGGTGTCAGACTCTTGGGAATTAGAGTTCTCCAGCTTCCCTTCCCTGCCTCCAGCAGGGTCCCCTGCAGGCTGCAGCAGGCTCCTCCTGCCCCCGTGTGAGGGCTGCACATCAATGCTCTGGGGGGGGATGTAGGTGAGGTTGGGGGGCTCTCTGATGTGCCTGAAGCACTCAGAAGCTGGCTGTGCCTTAGCAGGATCCATGAGCAGTCTCTTGCTGTCAGAAGCAGTGGAATCCTCCAAGTGCCCAGGAGTACAGCACAGAGCTGAAGGTGGCTCCGTGTGTGACGCTGCTCTGTTGTGCAGCTCAGCACTAGTCAGGTATGTATGTTTTATTTGGGAGTGATGGAATTCTCTAACGTGCCTGTCACTTGTTCCTGCATAGGCCATTGCCTCAGGCTGGCCAGTTTCCTCTACTGGATATGTAAGTTCTTCCTGAGCATCCCTGATTTGTAGTTCTGTGAAGGTTAAAGAGAGCTCACAAACATCCTCTTCCCTGGGGACGCTGCAGTTTTGGGCAAAGTCCTTGTAGGGCAGAGACTTCAGCTCAGTGG